TAACTATGTTACTTATTTGAAAAAGTAACTCAGATATTCTCTTGTAAATTAAAAAGTAATGCGTTACTTTACTAGTTACTTGAAAAAAGTAATCTGATTACGTAACTCGCGTTAACATAAACACGTCTGCTTAAATCAGGCTGTAGCAGGGCCATTTTTAAAGCCAAATTTGTTATGAAGCTCAAATGTTCATAAAATAACTTATTATTCTTTAATATGTTAGGTTTAAAATCCAAATAGTCGTTTTAGTGCTGTAAAAGCTGTTCTATATGATGAACTATATTCATTATTTTATTTTCAAAAAGTAATGAATTACATTTTAGTCTGTTCTTTGAATAAACCAAATGACCCGTGTTATTTTAGTATAATTGAGATATTAATATTATTATTACTTGAATCCTTATTAAAGCTACTGAAGTTATTCAGTCGAGAGCAGTGAGTGATTTTCTCTGTCTTTTGTTGTTTGATTAGCATTAACGACAGACGGCAGCAGGTTTATTAGGCTGCTGTCACTTTAAGACCTAACATTCTACACTGTTTGTCCGATAAAGCTGTGAAAGAGCGACCTCTGGTGTTTGCGTCTGATACCTTCTCGATCTGCGCGTTCTGTTTGGATTTGTACAGCACCTCGCCGACGGCCACGAACACAGACAGCACCAGGCCGGCGGCGAGGACGATGAAGATGCCGCCGATGTTCTGCACGCCGAGAGCGCTGGCCTCCTTACTCTCCTCCTCCGGACATCCGTTCCCTCTCCACCACTTCTCCTTCATCATGTGCAGCTTGCCCTCCTCCTGCAGCTGCAGGATGGCGATCGTGATCTTGTCCCGATACGGCGAGCCTGCGTCACAAATCACTCATTATAAATCAGATAGTTCCGGTGCTTGATTCTGATTGGCTGAGCCGCTTGATTCTGATTGGCTGAGCCGCGTTCGAAGCTGTTGTAAATGACTCTACAAAGTAACATACACCTTTGTTTACGTTTGTGTGTTGCTCGGCAACCACTTTGTTGCAACCACAACTGTTTCTGAGGAGCTACATTGTTTGGTGCCGATGTTCTGCACGCCGAGAGCGCTGGCCTCCTTACTCTCCTCCTCCGGACATCCGTTCCCCCTCCACCACTTCTCCTTCATCATGTGCAGCTTGCCCTCCTCCTGCAGCTGCAGGATGGCGATGGTGATCTTGTCCCGATACGGCGAGCCTGCGTCACAAATCACTCATTATAAATCAGATAGTTCCTGTCCTTGATTCTGATTGGCTGAGCCGCTTGATTCTGATTGGCTGAGCCGCGTTCGAAGCTGTTGTAAATGACTCTACAAAGTAACATACACCTTTGTTTACGTTTGTGTGTTGCTCGGCAACCACTTTGTTGGAACCACAACTGTTTCTGAGGAACTACATTGTTTGGTGGAAGAATACTGTTTTTATTAATATCATTACACTTTATTTGCTCTGTTTTATTTTGTGAAACCGTGCTACGTATATGGAATAACCGTTTTATAAAAGCAATAACCCCCCGTGAAGCTGTGGTTTACAGTGAATTTATAACAGCTAAGAGGGTTTTAGCGGAGTGCCTAACAACGCCCCTTAGCTGTTATAAATTCACTGTAAACCGTGAGGCGTAATGTCAATTACCGATTTTTTATTAAATAAGAAATTTAAAAATTATGAAGCTTAAAGCTTTTTTTATTCTTTATAAAAGACATTTGAGTTTTAAAAGTAGTGTCGTGAATGCTGTTCTAGCTGATGAACAATATTCATTAGTTATTTTATTTTTAGTGAATGATAACTTAAATTAATTGCGATACCCTTATAGTTTTTATTAATACTTATTACTATACTACATAATTAGTTGTTAATAATTTTAGTTTTACAATTTAATTTTTAGCAGTTTTGTATGACTCTATAGTTTAAGTACTTTTTTATTTCTGTTTCTCTTTTCCGTTTTAAATATAGTTTGAGTTTCATTTTACGTCTTCATTATTTTTTTATTTTTTTTCACGTTTTTAAAAAATATTTTAAATTAGTTAGAATTTTTTATATTTTCCTTTTTTATTTTAATTCTAGGTAAAGGTTTTTAAAATATGTCTATACGATTTTACTTAATGCTTTTTTTTTGTTTTTATTAATATTTTGATTGTTTTATTTTTATATTTCCCTAACTTAATTAGTTAATGTTTGTCATTTTATTGTGCTTTTGTCATTTTTAGTAGTTTATATAGTTTTTATTAATTTTTAATTTCATGCTTTTTTAGATTGTATTAATATTTTGAATTAGTATTTATTTTTCTATGTTCTTTTTTCATATTTAATTTTAGTATGTATTTTCATTTTTAGTAGTTTATGTCTGTATAGTTTTTTTTTTCAGTATTACTTTTAGTTACTTTAGTACACTTAATTAAAAATGAGAAATGATTCCTTGGCAAGTAATATTTTATTTTATTTCACTTAATGTTTATTTTATTTAAATAATGATTTTTTTTATTTAATTCAACTATAATAACCCTGTAAGTTACCCAATATTAATTATTAAAAGAACATGTATTTAAACATGTTTAAACTTGTGCTAAACAAATGAATAAATAAGGGCCGCGTCTAAATGATTTTCTGTGCTAATCAACACAAACGCTGCTGATGGAGCTTAAATCCTGAACATCTGTAATTGCACGAGCTGCATTCTTTGATAAAGCACTGATGTTATTCCAGGAATATGTGTTTAAACACGGAGGATTTGTGCAGATAAAGATGGATAAATATTCCCCTTGTATTCGCTCCTCCCCCGCAGAACTGCTCTGAGATATGAAGGTTTATATAAAGCGCGCAGATCCTCTGCTGTCGCCTTCAGAAGAGAAGAAGAGACTCATGGGAAATGAAACTAGAACAGAAGGAGATCGTATGTTCAGTCTGTTTTGTGTGCATCTTTGAAAATATACTAATATGTGACCTTCACTCTTAAGGGTCAATTTTTCGAAATTGAGATGTATACATCATCTGAAAGCTGAATAAATAAGCTTTCCATTGATGTATGGTTTGTTAGGATAGGACAATATTTGGCCGAGATACAAAATAAATAAATAAAGTTTTTATTATGATTCTTCAAAAAGTCTCCGATTTTTCATAAAAATAAATAAATAAAATAAAAACAGTGGATGATGTTGTAGATTTTAGACTTCTGCCTTATGAATAATATAATAATTATTATTTTCCTCTTTTTCAGGTAATAATTTAACCTGTCGCACCTGGCTCAAGTTAAATGACTTGTTTTATCATTTAATTTAGATTTATTACACTTATATTTATTCACAACTAAATATTTTAATGTGTTCAGTGTTTTAAATAGAAAATAGTTTAATAACTAATTGTAAATTTGTTAGAACAAAGATATTGTTTCTTGTTTTTATAATTGCTTTTGCATGAAATACAACAATAATTAGTGATAATACATCAAAAAATGAAAATCCTGTCATAATTTGAAAATGAAATTTGACTATTAGATGAAAACATTATAGTGTTCAGAAGATATAATAACCAGGGTTATTATCATTAACTTAATTATACATCAAAAAATTAAAATTCTGTCATAATTTGAAAATGAAATTTGAGTATTAGATGAAAACATTATAGTGTTCAGAAGATATAATAACCAGGGTTATTATCATTAACTTAAACTAATACCACAATAAAACTTTTTTGTTATTTGAAATAAAATAAACATTAACTGAACTAAAATATAAATCATGTTATTTCAGCTAGTCATTAAGTTGTTTTAAATAACTAAAACTGAAATTAAAAAGCAATGCAAACTTTATGAGCATATATATATATAAACAAAAAAATTACTAAAACGTGAAATAAGTAATTGAAAATATTCATATAAATGATAATAGTGTCTCAGTGATACTAAAATGTATCACTGATAATCGTCTACACTGAGCGTGTTACACAATAAAGAGAAATCTCTCAGCTCTCCATCATCTGTCACTGCAGGTCGCCATGGCGACAGGTTTATACTGATAGGATGCTGATGCTGTAGATGCAGGTCGCCATGGCGACAGGTTTATACTGATAGGATGCTGATGCTGTAGGTAATAACAGGATGCGTTTCGTACCCATGGGCGTCCCCACGCCGTACGCCTTGGAGTCGATTAGGCCGCCGATCTGCGTCAGGTTGCAGTTGCGCTGCGTGACGAACTCGATGGTGGTGGACTCCATCAGGAAGGCGTAGTCAGACGTCAGCACGCGATGGATGCCCTCCTCCACGCTCTTCACGATCACAGACTGACGCCGGCTGTTCATGAACTCCCACATCTTATCGTACGTCGAGATCTTGGTTTTCTGCAGCGGAGACAGAGAGGTTTATCCATTCGAACGCTGCGTTAGGATGAAATCGGACAGGAATTCAACTGAAAAGCTGCTTAACAGATGAAACTGAATCAGTGTCATAATTGATGAAAGATGAACTGAATCATTCTTGAAAATGACTCTATTGTCTTCTGCAGAGCTGCTGTATAGCATAAAATTGAATTTGTTTCATAACTGATTATTTT